TGTAGAGTCAGTTCATCTCTAACCCAGTATTCTCAGCACTGACTGGTTGCAGCTCTCAAGGTTTTCAAATATGTAAGATCTGTTTCTTAGCCAGTCCCAGAGATGTCAGGGGTTGAAACCATGCATGCAAAATGTTTGTACTGTCGCCGAGAAGGTCTGCATGCAAAGGATGTGCTGTGCTGCTGAGAGCCCCTGGCTCTTCCCCTCATGTATTGCTTGAATTTAGTCAATGAAGTACATCCCGGTTTCATCACTGCCCAATTTAACTTACGTTAGCAATCAGATGGTATGTCCCAAGATGCTGACAGACTGCCACTCCTCTCTTGCATCAGATCCCTCCCCCAAGCCCATGGGTTTTGTGGCTTAACCTTTTAATCCTCATTAACTCACACGTGGCCTAATGTATCATTTGTTTGTTACATTTCTATCCCACACTTCCCTTACTGAATTCAGGGGAAACAGCCATGGCTTTCTTCCGTCTTGTATTCAGGGTTTTTATGGCTGAGGTCCAGACTTCAACCTGGATCCTCCAAATCCCAGTTCAGCACACTAGGCACGTGCAGCTTCATCTTCTCTGAAAGTCCCCTTCTTTATCCTCGCTTCTCTCATCCTGTGATCCCCCTCCTGTTAGTCCTGGAACAGGTCATCATAACTTTGCAACATTTCCGAGTGGAAAAAATCCTGTGGTAACAGAGTGGGCTTTGATGTAGCTCTTAAGTTTTTGGATCAAGCTGTTCCATTTCTAACACTTGGATACAAAGACAGACTGTTCCTCCAAGAAGAATACAGACATCTCACAGCATACGCTGGTAGGCATGCTTTTTGTCCCTCAGATATGCAACAAAACATGGTGAGACCCATCCTATTCAGTCTCTGACTGATTGCCTGAGGAGATGGCTGGATCGTGGATTTTAAGCCTAGCCTCACAATCCCAGTTTGGTCAGGGATTGAGTAGATGGCCTTGATTCAAGTTGTGATTTCTCAGATACCCCAGAGGAAGAAGATGGACTTACAAGGAAGAATTATCAAAAGGGCAGGTCACATGAAAGTTTGCTGCAAAGCATACTGATACTACCAGTGTCTTGTTTCATCCACCCTCCCCACCTTGAGCCTTAACAGTAACTTTTCACAGGGATTTCATCGCCTCTAGTGGTGCTAATTAGCAGATATTCATAGAGCTTGGGAATTAACACTGTAGCACACTTGGTGAACAGGTTTATAGCACATTAGTGTTTGGTATCAGAGGAACAGAGTAGGCATCTCATGGTTAACATCTTAGTTTTGTTTAGCTTTGATCATCCACAGTGGAACTCCGAACATTGGTGATGAAAGGATTTGCAGTGCTGTTGTGATCAAAACCATTGCCTCCTGCTTTCCCACCTCCCACTTTGTATCTGGCGTGACCATCATCTATCTAACTTAACTTTATTATTTGTTATTACTCTTGGTTTATCACTAGTAAATGCTGCTACATGTTGAAGTATATGTTATAAATAAGTATATTAATTTATTGAAGTTTGGCCTACTCTTATAGTTCTGTACCTATTGGGTCAACCTTGGTTCCTCTTTCATGTGCTTGAGAAGGTGACAGGTTTTTCCAAAAGCCCGGACTATTTTCTCCTGCTTCTGTGGAATGAATGATATTTACCCTGAACCTACTACACTCCTGAGCTGGCTGGATAGCTCAGTGACTTAGGTAACTGACTCCGGAATCAGAGGTTGGGAATTCATTTCCCCACTGTGTATGCCAGAAGAGTCTGCCTGGGTGGCCTTGGGCAATCTGCACAGTCAGAGGATGCTTCCAGAAGGAGGGAATGGTCAACCACTTCTCAGTATTCTCTACCTAGAAAACCCTGAAAAGGATCGCCATAAGTCAGAATCAACTTGACAGTGTACAATTATTACTGCACATCTACAAAAAAAATAACATATTTGATCTGGAACCACTTTTTTCTTGCAATTTAAAAAACGTGTATATCTGAAGGTTACAACACTTTGTAGTTGTAGATTAGGAAAGAGATATGGCAATTGAATATCTAAAGATCAGCAAGCATTGTATATATATATATATTATTTAACTTACCTCATTCTCCCCGTAACACATTTGGCTTCTTCCAGCACCTCATCCTACATCCTCCTTTTCCCACTCTCTTTGTGAATGTTCACCTGCTGTCTTGTTTTAAAAAAAGATAATGATTGTAAATTCTCCAACACTTTGTCTTGTGTGCAGAACTACATGAACTGCATTTTTAGTAGGAGACTTACATTTCACTGTAAGTGAAGGAATGATTGGAAGTTCCAGGTGTTTGTTTTATCTAAGAGTTTTAAGATTTGGGGCTTTGAACCTTCTTTCCCTTACTTAGAGTTGTCTTTGGCGTTCGTTGGTTGATTTTGAACTTAACTGGATTAACTCCCCAGTGTTCCCAAAAGTGGAGAGGGAGTGGCAAAAGCTAAACCAAAAAGAAGCAAGGCTTCTCTTTTTTCAGAACCAAATATGTGTTCATAGACCCAGACACGTAGGGATATGTCTTTGCCATCAGATAAATTTACAGACTGGTGGGATTTTGGCCAGAGGTTATTTAATAAGTAGGGCATCTGGGAACATTTGATCCTTGTGAATTCACTGTTATCTTAGTTCCCATGTTTCCCTGTCGGTTTCTCGCAGTTTTTGTTGTGAAACATTCAAGGACTCATTTATCTCCTACCTTGTGTTGCAAAGAAGCAGGCCACATTTTAACTTAGTCTTGCCAGTTAATCATGTTCACATCCTGTAACTTCCTATACCCTTGACTTCTGTTCATGGTTTTGAATACTGTTTGTCGTGGGCAAGAACAAGAATAGAAGGAAGGCAATATCAGTTGCTTGTGATGAGGTGATCCTCTGTCCTTCTGGCCCAGAGCAGCCCATGCTGTTTGGGGTATTTAGGGCTGAACAAAAAGTGTCTGTAGAAGTACAAAGGAGCCAGTAAGGCTTGCACAAGCCAGATTGATTGCGCCTTTGCATCTCCCAAGTTTCCCCATCCATATGTGCTGCATTATTGTCTACTATAGGTTGCCAGAACTATTTGATGGGACGTCTGTGTGCAGGAAATAACATCCAGTGGTGTAATGTGGTCACAGTTCAGAAGTGCAAAGCTCAAAGTAGGCAAAATCAAAGTTTAATAGAATCATTTAGACTTAACCACAGTTCAGAAGTGCAAAGCTCATTAAAGTAGGCAAAGTCAAAGTTTAATAGAATCATTTAGACTTAAACCCAGGCTTAAAACCACCTGTAGAATTCCTTGGCCAGCCTGGTTGTTTTCCATACTGCCTGGAAGATCCTGGGAGTTACATTCTCCAAAAGTATGTTTTCCAAGTTCTGCAGGAAATCCCAAACCTTTAGGCTTAAGTGCCCTGGAGTGAAAATCAACAATGCTTTTCTGAAAAGTGAGTCATCTCATCCTTTTTTTTGTTTGTTTTACTTTTACTTTTGCTTAGGTCCACCTTAGGTAGATGTATGGGGAAGTGTAGCAGAGTGCTGCCGCTCAGAAACACATTTTGTGTAACAAGGCAGTGATAAGTGTCTCTGTAGAGGTACCATTGAGCTGTCCCCACATCCTGAGGGATACTTGTCTTGCCTGTGTCTAGTGGAATGCCTCTGCGCTCCTTTCCCAGTTGGTCTCTTGCAGAAGGATGGGTGTGCGTGTGTAAGAGCATAGGAAGTCCGGGAAGGGCCAGCCTGCAGGGGGAGGCAGAGAATTTGTAAAACAAACAAACAAAACCATCTCTGTCCTCTTCCCAATTCATAGCAATCTCCACTGGAGGAAAGTATTTTCTGTGAGTGGAGGGATGCATAGCTAACTTGGAAACTGGTGTTTGGAATCAGTACCAGAAAACAGTCTTCCCTGAAGCCTCTGTTAGGGTTCCCCTCTTCTGTTAAGAGGACAAATGGTGTCCGCCCACTGGCCACGTTGTTGAGATAGAAACTGTGTGGGAGAGAAGGCTGGGAGAGAAAGCAAGGGCCAGCCTGAGAGGAAGGAACACAGGAACCCACACGGGACAGCCTGTCTCGGCCTCTGTTGCCCTCTACAGACAGTGATGTGTAATCATTACTACAAGTGTGGTGAACCGCATCTTTTTGTGACTTTGAGGAAATAGAGCTCCTAGTATACAGGTGGGACACTCTGTGTGGTGTAGTAGATAGAGTGATGGACTAGAAGCAAGGAAGCCTGGGTTCCAATCCCCGCTCCACCATGGAAGCCCACTGGGGAAGCGGAACTGCTAACCACTCCTTAAGTACCTCCCTTACCTTGAAAGCCTTATTAGGGTCACTATAAGTCAGTTCCAGCTTGACGGCACACAAACAGCATGCAGAGACATAAAACCTAAGCTCGCATCATGTGTACAGTACTCTGTGATGCAGATTTTGAGCAACCCTATGCAGAGACATAAAACCTAAGCTTGCATCATGTGTACTCTGTGATGCAGATTTTGAGCAACCCTGGGGCCTGTGTTTTTGGACAAGCCATTTGGATCTCACTGACGTGACAGGACATTGCAGATAAACACTGCCTCAAACAAGAATTATACTACGGGCCCAAATAAAGTGTTGAGCACCTTTTGTCTAACCTACTTTCCGATAAAATGTATTTTTATCCCCCCACCCCACCCTTCATTGTGAGCTTAAAATAGGAAAGAGCAGTGTAAGAGCAAGCTAAAAACGTGGCTGTATGGGGGAGGGAATGGCATGGGATTTTAGGTTACCTGGCACTAAAATAGCCTTCCTCCCCTGTTGTTTGCTATCCTTTTCAAGTGCCAGCTTGGATCACAGCTACCGGTTAGGTTGCTTTGAAGTTGTCCTGCTATATCTGGGGTGCTCCAGATACACACAGATGTTAAGGTCACAGACAGATTGAGAGGAAAGTTTCAGGTGTTGCTTAGGATGTTTACACCCCCCCTCCAAGGGGAACAGGAGAAAAAGAACAGCCCTATAAATCATTTTTCATTTCTTTTTTCTTTCAGGTAAAGTCTGTAATTAATCTCCTGTTCGCTGCATATACGGGTGATGTGTCTGCACTAAGAAGGTAAAATCAATATGGATGTGAAATGTTTGCTTTATGTTGGAGTAATTGAGACGTCTCTGCCATATAATCTCATTTTCTCTCATCTAGCTAGTTTTAAGAGAGACAGTGGCTGATAGACCACTTGCAGTGACGCCCACAATAGCATACTCTACCAGTAACCTGTTGGACTGTGAGGATAATTGCATCTCTTTTTGACTACAAGCCCCCACAGCATCTTATGGTTGGCTTTAAAGGACTAAAAATATCTGGAGGGCTGACAGTTCTCCACCCAAGCTTGGGTGTCAGAAGAGCGAATGGGCTAATTGTTATTAAATGAGTAGTTTGGGATACATAACCTTATGTAACATGGGCATTAGAGGAGTGAAATTCCATAGTCTCAGTTTTTAAATTATTTTCATTCTGGTTGTTTTTAAAATTCTCTTGTTTTACTAGTTCGGAGCCAGAACAGGTGGAAATGGGCTGTTATATACACACACACCCCAAAAGCCAACCACAGAATAGTCAGTACATAGAAACCAAAAAGGGAAAAAAAGAATCAGAACTACATGTGGGCATTCACTCAGTGTAACGGAGAACAAGCAAGACCCTATAGCCCTATGCAGAATTTTGGTTGCTCACATATATAGAGAAAAAGGGGGTACCCGTAGGCTTTTAGCACTCCCGTGCACTCAACTGCTTTTCCTTCTTGGTGACACTGAGTACAAAGCCTTACATACGGCTTTTCAGCTGATAAAACAGGTTTTCCACCCATGGGGATTCAATAAGCAAGTTCAGCAGAACACAGTTCTGGAACCCCTTAATGGCTCTTTCACTAAATGTCCGAAGATCATAAAAAGTTTTCACCCACATCCTTCTGTCCACTTCAGTTTGAAGCTAGCATATGGAAATACCTTGGTATCACTTTTGTTTGGTCTCTATGGCCAGAAGCTCATTGCTTTATACCCGCTCAAGTCAGACAGTATAAATTACTGCAGCAAATTGTCACTAATTAAGAAGTTGGCTTGCATTTCTTATTGCACACCAGATGAGTGATGAGTTTGGTCCTGCAGATGAGTTTGGTCTTGCAGTTTATGATGTTTGACTTATGCCACCAGAATGCAAATATTAGAATTCTGGCCATTGTTGCATTTCTTTCTAGTTCTTGAAAACTACTTCCCTAATCTTCTTTGAGCACTATGGGGGGGTAAAAAAAGCCAAAAAAAAAAAAAAAATTACTGCAGCAAATTGTCACTAATTAAGAAGTTGCGGCTTGCATTTCTTATTGCACACCAGATGAGTGATGAGAAATATAAGCATCCACTTCTTAACTAGCAGCAGTTTGGTCCTGCAGTTTATGATGTTTGACTTATGCCACCAGAATGCAAATATTAGAATTCTGGCCATTGTTGCATTTCTTTCTAGTTCTTGAAAACTACTTCCCTAATCTGGAGCATCATATGGAACTGTGACATAATTGATTTGTAGTACTTTTAAAAGGCATCTTGTTTTCTTAGATGTGTTAAATCAGTAATGTCTTAGTGATGTCTAGCCTGTTCACTAATGGGACTGGAGTGTGGGTTAGAATTCAGATCCACCGTGCGAAACACATCTGCCACTCTAGGCCCCATGGATCGAAGAAGCACTTCCTCTGGGACACTAGTACATTAATGATGACCCTGCTTTGAGGAAGGCATGCACACATTTGAGAATCTTTGAACCACCCAATTTTGCAGTCAGTAAGGTATGAAGTTGTGCTTTTTTCAATGAAGAACACACCAACTGGAGGAGGTTTCATTTGGAAAGAGAATGCTCACCCAATTGCTCTAGAAATTGGTTATGGAGTCAGGTGTGACGATATGCATGCAAGCAGCCATTTTTACAGAATAGTCAGTAGCTGCTCAGCGCTGGAAAGAGAATGCTCACCCAGTTGCTCTAGAAATTGGCTTTGGAGTCAGGTGTGACAATATGCATGCAAGCAGCCATTTTTTACAGAATAGTCAGTAGCTGCTCAGCTGAGTCCAGGGGCATCTGTGTGTAACATTGAGGATAGACTCCGATTTTAGCTGTCCTTCAACAGACCCTTTGAACATTTCTGCCCTCTTTGAGAAGGAGTTCTTTTTGTATCTGTGTTTTCCCTCTCTTTTTCAGATTTGCGTTGTCGGGCATGGATATGGAGCAGAGAGACTACGATTCCCGGACAGCATTGCACGTAGCAGCCGCTGAAGGTTTGTGACAGTGAGTGACTTGAAGTAGCTGCTCCATTTTAGTACGGGGAATATAATGTGTAAATGTAATTATCCATTTTTGTATTATAGGTCACGTTGAGGTAGTTAAGTTTTTGCTGGAAGCCTGCAAAGTGAATCCTTTCCCCAAAGACAGGTGAGCATCTGGAGTGAAGGTACAGAAGAACATTAACAGTCAGTTAAATCGTGCCAGCGTTGGCTTTGCTAACAGCAGCCTCCAAGGAATTCAGCCTGATCCTTTAGTTACAGCTTAATGAGAATTCTGCCCATTTTAATTAGCCATCTGTCAGTTCTTGTGGGGCTGGGAAACTCTGGGCTTATTTATAAAACAACATGTCTTTATATATTTGGAGTAGGGGAGGAGAATCGAGATGGTACAAGGGATAATAATGATTTTTAAGTAGACCATATTCACATTTTGTCAGCAAGCATCAAACTTGCAGCATGAGTTTATGAATTAGGAAACGCCCAAGGCATCTGATTTCAGTGAACATGGATACAGCTCACTGTATTTGGTTCATGGTATGGATGAGACCAGGAGAACATTGAGGCTGGGAGGTCCTGCTGTTAAAATGTCCAAGAGGTGTATTCACCTATGCTATTTTGTGTTTGTGGAAAAGAATCAGTAACTTCATTTTAACTGTCACATTTAGTTGTAGCGCTTTTAACAGAACGTATACACAGCCGGCTCTGGTAAAGTGAAATGAGTTTTGGGGGGGGATATGAGTTGTGAGTTTGGACCAAATCTGAAGGGAAAATGCTGCAGTTCCATTCCTGAATGGCGTGTCTTGTCATTTCAGGGCTAAGGGTTTCTGCAACATAGGGGAGAGTTCTGGTGAGACTCTGAAATACAGTGGTGCCCCGCATGACAACGAAAAATTGTATTTAGACATATATTTAATTAAGAACTTTTCCTCTGTTAAATAATTACTTTAAAACATCTCCTTTGAAACTACAGTACATCTTTTGAACATACCTTGAGCCAGAAGGGGTGTCCAAACAGCTATGGGGTGAATGCAGAAGCTGATATATAGTGAACTGTCGTCTGTGCCATCTTTGAGGAAGTGCAGATCTTGTTTTTTAATTATATAATTTGTAAATGTTACCTCCTGAAGTGTCCCATCTGACATAATTCTGAGCTCTGATACATGAAGACAACTAATTTACAGCTGCTTCTTTATATTCTGGGGAATGTAATACTCCAGAACTCAAATCTGAGAGCAAACAAGCCCTACACTGTTGGCCTGCTGGGGTGTGATTTGGGAACGTGGCCAATTTGGTTCCAAATCAGATTGGATGCCCCAGTATGCCAGCTCTAGTGACTGACTCATGCAGTTACTCTTCTCAAAGAGCTAACCAAGTTAGCCTGTCTCTCGGTGTGTGTCACATGCATGGAGACAGACAGACAGACAGACAGACAGACAGACAGACAGAGTGCTGCCTTGGGTTGTTTTTAAGGAGAAAGGCAGGATAAAAATGTTTTAAAGAAATACATACCGTATTTTTTGCTCCATGACGCACTTTTCCTTCAAAAAAAAGAGAGGAGAAAAGTCTGTGCGTCTTATGAAGAAAATACAAAAAAGTGAGGTGAAAAGTCTGCATCTTATGAAGAAAATACATTGCGTTTGGTTCCCTCTAGTGGTCAGTCTGATAATTACACCTTTTTTACAAGGCTGATCTGGAAGGACGCTGCCTCAAGCTTGCTGGAGCTAGGCAACATGGCTTAACAGACCCCCCAGTACTCTACTCATTAGTAGTGCTGATCCTACAGGACATCCGTAGCAGCCCTATAGGACCAGCGCTGCTTACTGGACGGCTGGATCATGTGACCAGCCCAGATGCTGGGGGAAACAGAGAGAGAGAGAGAGAGAGAGGAGAGCTCCACGGAGGAGGGGAGAAGACTCATCCAGGTACCATAAATAACATAATACAGAGGAATTCCTGGCTGGATTGCTGACTGGTGACATTAAGGGGCACATATGGATGACTGAGACATTGTTGGTGAAAAGTAGGATTTGTTTCAGTTGCTCACTGAGTGAAAGGCTTTTAGCTCTTTTGAGATTTGTCATACTATTCAAAGCAACCCACTCTATTGGTATCTTAAACCTGATTTTTTAAATACTTTACACTGATGTATTGCACCTTGGGGTGTCTACTTCAGTCCCCTAATGGTGAACATAATTAAAAATGTATTATATAAAGTAATAGACCTCCTCTCGTGGGACTGCGCTGCCTATAGAGATACCATACAACTTTAGTACACTATTTGGTTCAGAATATTTTTTCCGTTTTCCTCCTCTAAAAATTAGCTACGTCTTATGCTGAGGTGTGTCTTATGGAGTGAAAAATACAGTACTTTATATGCAAATCTTTTAAAGTACTGCAATCTTGTTTTTATTCTACAGGTTATGACACTTCCCTTTGTTCTTGTGTAATCAGGAAGGCACAAATCTAACAAGAAATCAGTACATTGACCAAATAATGTAAGATGACCTTGTAGATATGATTTGTCTCAGAGTACCCTCAAGGTCACATCATCAGACCCCCCTGGTCATCGGTGGTGGGATTTATAGGCCAGCATCTGGAAACCACTCAGGGTTCCTGCTCCTTGGATCAAGAGTGTTGTGTATAGATTCAGACAACCGTTGTCTCACCTTGAAATCTCTTCCTGTTGCAGGTGGAACAACACTCCAATGGATGAAGCTTTACACTTTGGACATCATGATGTATTTAAAATTCTTCAAGAGTATCAAGTACAGTACTCGCCGCCAGACGATTCCAGCAACGGAAAAGAAAATCAAACTGTACAGAAAAACCTAGATGGCTTGCTATAACCCTCTTCTGTTCCCAGGAATGGAAATTTACCTATTTAATTGTGGAAAAGCCGATTATGAAGAGTGTGCGTGTTTCTATTGGATAGTGATGTATATTTTCCAGGAGTCTCACTTTGTTGTAAATGTTACAGGCGCTTTTCGTCGTTGCGCACACAGGACAAGCCTAGTTTGTCTTTCAGAAAAGCAAACTCCCCAAGTCTCCATAATGTGAGCAATATTACCTCGTGCTACGTGTGACTGATAAAGAGGAGGGGAAAAAAAAGAATATTTAGCTGTTGCCGATTTTCTGCACTACTTATTTTGTCGTTTTCTGTGACGCTTTACTCCATGAGTCAAGAACTTTTTCTGCTGTGCTGGCTTTTAAAAAAAAAAGTAGATAAATAAAAGCTGCCTGGAAGTGTGGCTGCACAGAACCGGGCTGCTGCCCTGTGTACATGTATGCGTGATCTCGCTAGGTGTCAAGAATTGTGGCTGGTGTGGATTTAGGCTGGGTGTGTTGAGCATCAGTCTGCACTAAGAGTGCTTTCTTTGTATCCTTTTAATTTCTTACGATACCTTCTTGCATCATGTAATTCTTAAAAATATAGACGAGTGACTGCGGTCAGTGGTCTAGGATTCACTTTTGTTCCAAGAATTTTATCAGGGAATTTTAAGGTTTGTTTGACCAAAAAGCATCGATGAATGTAATCAGATCATCTTCTAACATCACAGTTCAGAGGCGTCTTTCATATCTTCCATCACCGACCCCTTCTCTCTCTGTATGGAGGTGCTGATAAGAGTCTTCAGACATTGAAGCCTGCTGCCTCCTCGTTTCTGGTGGAGTTCTATGCATGCCACTTGCATGTGGCTAGGGTGTGTTTCCTTTCCATACCAGGGGTTGTGCTAACTGAGCATCTTCTAGTCATAGACCCACAATTACATAAACAAGTGCATTTCCTTTCCATACCAGGGGTTATGCTAACTGAGCATCTAGTCATAGACCCACAATTACATAAACAGTGTGATCTTTCTGAGAATGAAGCTCACCTCATAGTTAAAGAGGCCTGGTGCCTTGATTTGATTCCAGCAGGCATCAACAGTGTTGGTAGCAAAGGGCACTGACAATAGGGTTGGGCTTACCTGGAAGTAATGGAGTCTCTAGACATTTTAACACCTGAGCAGCAGATGAGTGTGATGGTCTTCAACCAGCAGATCAAAACCCCACCCTCACTTGCAGGCATTCCTAAAGATCTCATCCCTATCATGGTTCTATTTCCTCTTTCTGTTACTTTTCCCTCCCCCTTTATGAAACTGGAGAAATGGTGCGAGTGGAAACTACAGGCAAGAGAAACAAGATGGCAGCTGCACATTTAAAGAAAGCTGATGTAGGCCTCATGTAGTGGCCTGCCAGAAGGTGGATCATTAACTCTTAAAGATCATTTGCACGGGCAAAGTTTAACTAGAACCTTCGATGTGTAGTTAAAAAGATCTAGATTTGCCAGTCCAAATGCAGGGTGTGTGTGTGTACTTTCCACGTGTTTTCGTTAAGTGTGCCCACCCCTGCAAACTCCACTCTTAGGAGGCTGCTCGTTCTCCGCACCTCTCAATTCTCCATACTTGGTCTATTTGGCTGGTTGGAAAAATAATTTGCCACTTTGCCTCCAGAGTCTTTAGCCCATATCCTCAGCGATACTGTGCAAGTGCTGCATTGATGCTGTAGGACTGGAATATGTGAAGGTTCTGAACTGAAACTATGCTTCTTCCTTCCAAATAGATGGACTAGCCTATTGCGCTTCACCTCCTCCATTAAAATCTCCCGACATTTATCATCTTTGTAACCTGTATCAGCCATCTTGTAATTAAACAGTAATGCTTTAGACATACACATATACGCGAACAAATCATTTTGCCCAAATTGTTTGGGGTTCTGTTTGCCTCTCCCCCCTGCAATATATATGAGCTTCTGTAGCGCCATATTTTGCAAAGGCATTTTGTTTTTCCTCATTAGAAGAGCAAGTTGTCTTTTGTAATGTAGGTGTCCGTTGGAGGCAGTTCATTTGTATGTGCACTTTGCTTTTGTTATTCCTCGATGCTGTTCTTTGTTGCTGTTATTAATATGCTTTAGTTATTGAAAGCTGACATTATTTTGCGCCAGGAACTTGAGGCCCACTTTTGAAGTGTAACCATTCTACATTTACCAGAGCACTGGAAGCGGATTGTGTTAGCCATGCTTCATACGCGGCAGTCCGAGACCCTGCTGTCCCATCTTTTTGTAAGAGGTGTTGTGTTGGACTAGTATCCTTTTTTAGCGCAAGAGCAGGACTGTCAATAACTGTTTCTAGTGACCTTCTGAGTAAATTGTGACTGATTTGGCTTGACATTCTTTATTGTAGAGAATAAACCATGATGAATGTATTTTGCTTCTTATGTTTCCCATGAGTTAATCTAAACTTTAAAGTACTTGAGCTGTACCAGTTCTTAAAGTAAGATTTATTTTCAGGATGGCAAAACCAATGGTGTTGAATTTTACAACATAATAAAGAACAGGCATACCAAAAAGTCTTGTTTTCTTATCTAGCCGACTAGGTTTGCTCTTTTTTCCTTTCCTACGGGCAGCCTGGGCTTGTTGTATGACAATGGGATGGTCCCTACAACACAGATGCATATTTGGCAGGAGATTGGTTTGGTGGCACTGTGTTCCTACACAAAAGCATGAGTAACACACAATTTGGAAAAGCTACTGGGGGTGGGGTCACAAACTCTTAGAACCACTGGCCACCCTAGCCAGGAAGTTCTGATCCAAATGGTCTTTTTTTTTTTTGGCAGCACTAACTCAGTCCCAAGATTCCCTTCTATCACTCTTTGTGCCATCTCTGCCAGCCATGTGTAAGGTGGTACGCTGGAGTGGCTGGACCAAAGTGGACAGCTAAGCCTCCAGGCTGCAAACAAAAGTACAGGAAGTTGCAGGAGGTACACCGTAGTGAATAAAGCACACAAGTGGCGCAAGTCACCATGGTACAGTCTATATCTGCAATCACAATGTGGACAGGAACCCAGAATATACATGCAATCCAGAACGTTTCCCTTTTTGAAGATGGTAGGAGAAATGGTTCTTAAGTCAGCAAGCCAAGGGAGTTGTATGGAGGCCTATAGGCAGAAATGGCAGAAGCTAATGGCTTTGCCTATGTTTAAAGTACCAGCAAGACAGAGGAGAAGAGCCCAACTGGACTTGTGCACCCAAATGGCATTAAAATAGCTGGTTATGTGTTATGAACATGGGTTGCCCATACTGGCAAGGTATTTGGCACACTGTAGTGAAGAGGGGAGGATATCCTTTGATAAGGACAGCAAAAACTGAGGCCGATGAGAAGAGCCCTGGATAAGACCAAAGCCCTCCTCTATGTAGCATCCTGTTGCCACAAGAGGACACACAGCGATCTTTGGGAAGCCCGTAAAAAGGCCATGAGCACAACGGGCACCCTCGCATCATTCCTCAGCCATCAAATACCTTCAGAGGGGTAGAGAGTCTCAAAAGTGGTGGGGAGGGAGGGAGTGCCACCATCTCTGCAGGAAATACCTTTCAACCTGACTGCCATGAAGAGGGCCGAACTCTCCTGTTCCTCCTTTCCCTCCATCGCCCAGGGGTGCCGCCATGTTACTGGCTTGCGGCTTCTATTACCATACAGTCCGAGCTCATGCAGCAAGGCTAGCCTGTCCCACTCCACTGAAAGAACATAGTGGGAGACAGAGGTTATGCAGAAGCACAAGACCGGAGCCCTTGGTACAAAGTTTTAGCCAGCTAGGTAAGCTACTCCCATTTCCTGCAAGACTAGACCCCTTCTTCAGAGTGCCTCCCAACTGCAAAGCAGTGAAAGAAAGAAAAAGGAACCCCAACTTCAAAGGGGAAGCGGAGCAGGCATGCAATATTCCCTTTATTTTGGGAGAGTTTCACTGAAAAGCACACCTTACATCTCAGACTAGATTGTTATCAACCAAGATAGAAGGAAAACACTCTACATGGGACTGCTCACTAAACAACTATTCCTGGTAATGCGGAAGGCACTGCTAAATTTGCATCGTGTGGCCCAACAGTGCTACGCTGCTCACACAAAATGTATAGCTTCTTTATGGAGAGAGACTGCTACAGTATGAAGTGTAGAGGCTCAACAGGTGCACACGGAACTGCAGTCTGGCAGGCATGAAGGTGAGCAAGTCCACCTATGGACCAACCAGCAAGCAGTTATGGTTATTCCGAACACATCTGCAATAGAAGAAAATACATAATTTCATTGGTCAAACAGGATTCATGCATACGATGAATGTCCTCAGTGGAATTTCTGAGCCTGCAAAACTGATTTTGCCCCACATGTCAATAAATAGATGGCCCCTGTTCCGAACACCACCCAGAAGCACGGCTTCCCTAAACAGTCAGAAACTACATTATTTCTACTGCAAGTACAATAAGAGCTTGTAGGAGTTAAAATATAAATCCTACATTAAAAAAAGAGAGGTTACCGACCTGCAACTCTGGTTCTTCGAGTGGTCATCTGTGAATTCACACTAATGGGTTAGTGCGGGAACCTCCCACATGCTGGCTATAACCCCGCCCCCGGCGCCGAGTGCCTCAGTTCTGTGGAGCTGTCCGCCACTGCGCAGCATGCC